CATTTCTGCATTAGCATATAACTTAAAATTTTGAATCAGTCATGAAGTTTAAATAAAAAATAAGCAACAGCTTCCATCCGAGTAGTGAAAATCTTGTGGTGGTTCCCTGAGACATGTGCCTTTAATTTCAAGTAGGGAAGGAAGGGTAAGACAGCAAAGGAACATAATCTCAGAAAGTGAAATTGTTTGGCAATTGGGGGCCTGAAATATGAGGAATAGAGTTTGACAGTCATATGATTTGAGATCTGCATATTCTAAAGTATGGTCAGAGGTAGGGTTATTTGCAAAATCTTTGAGTGATTGCAATAAAATTTAGTTAACCAGAATTCTTAGTAATTCTTTTAGTGTGCATCAATGAGTTTTTATGGAAGACTTCATGTTTTAAAGAATGTTGAAATTTTAGTTTCTTTTACTCTCAATATTTAATTCCTAATATTGAGATTATTCTTTTTTGTAAACAAACATATTGAGCACTTTCAATCTAGGAGATTAAACAACTAGCTATGTGGCCTTAGTTTATTTTTCTTTCTTTAAAAACTAGTTATTTACAGGAACCATAAATTTTCATCAAATTTGGACACTTTTGAAAGGGAAGAAAAGTACTTTTAATGTTTATTTTTAGGGCAACAAAGTAATACAGTGGGGCCTTGACTTATGAGTTTAATTCGTTCTGGGACGGAGCTCATAACTCAAATTACTTGTATGTCAAATCAATTTTCACCATTACAATGAATTGAAATGCCATTAATATGTTGTGGCGTTCACTGTGACGTTCGCTGCGCCAACTAGTAGTGGGGTATCTGAAGCTGGCTCGTAACCCGAATTTTAGCTCGCAACTCAAAGCAAAAAATCAGCCGAGAGACGGCTCGTATCTCGAAAAACTGGTTAGTCAGGACACTCGTAAGTCAAGGCCGCACTGTATGTGATTGTGCCAGGCCAGCTATATCAGGGTGGTTGTGAGAATTAAATATAAAATCCTATATAATAAAAGTGTAATATGCAAATTGACCGAACTGTGGAACTACTGGTTGGCATGGGGCGGGGCCGGTGAGCAGGCAGTGCCAGGCCAAAATACATGCCAGCGGGCTGAGGGAGGGGACGGCGATGGGGGAGGGGGGTAGCAGCAACCAGCAGCAGCAGCAGGGCAATGGGGGGTGTGGCTGGCCACTCGCCAGCCAGTGCTGTCCCCTGATTGGCCCTCAGGGAGCAGGCCTAAGCTGTCAGTCAGACATCCTCTGAGGGCTTCCAGACTGCCAGAGGGCAAAGGCCGGACTGAGGGACACGCCCCCTCCAGTGCATGAATTTTCATGCACTGGGCCTCTAGTATTATAATAAACGTTTTTAGTACACAAAGAATTATTATTTCCTGAAAATGTCCTTAGCCTAATTTCAAGAAATTATGTTTCATCTATTTCTCTTACAGAGTTCTTGTCAGGCAAAATGTGATGACTCTAAAGAATTACTTTAACTGTCTTAATTTAGCTCACCAAGTATTTATTGCCTGCTTACTGTGTGCTAGACACTGGGTATCCATATATATAAAAAGCCAGGGGCCGTGAAGACCAAAACAACCTGTCGCCATGAGGTGGCATTGACTGGTGTGCGGGCTGAACTGCTGACCTCTCGATCCTTTCCCCTGGCTCCCATGGGCAGCAGGGGCTCCCTCCCGCCTCCTGCGGGCGCTGGTGGCTCCCACCTGCCTCCAGCGAACCGCTGGATGGGGCCGGCCAACCTCCCATCGCAATCAAGAGTGGGCTGCACAGAGCCTGGGCCCTTCCTGGCAGCCCCGAGTCCCTGGGGTTGAGAATCTGATGGCCCTGCCCAGAGAGTAGGCACCTGACAGGCAGGGACAGGGACCACAGGCCTCCAGGGAGCACCGCAGAGTTGGCAAGGAGAGGAGAGGGCCTGTGGAGGGGGGAGGAGGTGAAGCCAGTGGACATCAGCCCAGAATCCAGCGCTTCCCCCTAGAGGCAGCGGGCCCTCAACCCAGAACCCCAGCCCGAATCGGAAGAGCCGAGGGAAGCTTCAGGGAGCTCTATGCAGAGCTGCACATTGAGAACGAGAGACTTCGTGAGGCCCTGACCAAGACCACGCTGCTGGCTGGCACAGCTCAAGGTAGAGCTGGAGTGTGCCATGCAGAGGCAGGAGTGCTTTGCAAAGAGGCCGGCCCTCCTGGAGCTGGAGAGATTTGAGTGTAGCGCCCTGGAGCACAAGGCTGCTGAGCTGAAAGAGGAGCTGAAGGGCCTGTCCAGCCTCCAGGCTGACAATCAGTGCCTCAAGGACGAGAACACAGCCCTGATCCGTGTCATCAGCCAACTGTCCAAATGACCCCGGAGGACTTGCCCCTGCACCCGCATTTATACAGCTGCTTCTGCCACACGCACCCCTCCCCCGTGTGAACACGAGTGACAGGGCTGCCGGGGAGTCTCTGAGAAGCCATAACCTCCCCTTGGGACCTCCAGGCTGGGAGGGGAGGACAGAGCACCCAGGAGCCAATGGGGCCATTGAGGCCAGGATGGAGAAGGAGGGCTGAGCCAGGTATGGGGACCAGGGCTGCAGGCAGGACCAGGAAGGAGCCAAGGACCAGGAAGGTCCAGGACCAGTAGCCAGGACCAGAGTGGCTACCTGGAAGTTCCCTCTCATGTTTGCTGCCACCAGTCACCCCTTCCGCCCTGAGCAGGGATCCAAGAATGTGCCAAGCATCCCACTGGCCTGGGCCGGGTGGGCCTGTATATAGGGTCCGTGTGCAATACGGAGGAATGTCTTCTATTTTTTACTGCCCCCTCCCCAATGCAGTTGGGGGTGATTAGGCGTCGATCAGGCCAGCAAGGGAGTGGTTAGGGGGCAATCAGGCTGGCCGGCAGAAGCAGGGGCAATCAGGCAGGCAGGCAGGTGAATGGTTAGGAGCCAGCGGTCCCGGATTATGAGAGGGATGTCCCAGATTGGAGAGGGTGCAGGCCAGGCTGAGGGACAACCCTGCCCTCGGGCTCTCTCAGGCCCGGTGCTCACTATTTGAATCACACTGGATTTTTTATTTAAATGCATGAAAATGAAAATGGTATCTTTGAAAAATAGGTATATTCTTCTAGAAATCAAAACTACATAATTTAATATAAATTGTTCAGGATTTGAGTATGAATTTCTGTGTAGTATATATGTGTTTACTTAAATTTATAAATACATATATATATACTAGAGGCCTAGTGCACAAAAATTTGTGCACTTGGCGGGGAGGGGGGGTGTCCCTCAGCCCGGCCTGTGCCCTCTCGCAGTCTGGGACCCCTTGGGGGATGACCACCTGCTGGCTTAGGCCTGCTCCCCAGGGGATTGGGCCTAAGATGGCAGTCAGACATCCCTCTGGCAGCCCGGCAGCCCTCAGGGAATGTCTACTTGCCAGCGGGGAGCAGACCTAAGCTGCAGTCAGACATCCTTAGCGCTGCTAAGGAGGCAGGAGAGGCTCCCACCACCACTGCTGTACTGGCAGCCATCAGCCTGGCTTGTGGCTGAGCAGAGCTCCCCCATGTGGGAGCGACTGACCACCAGAGGGCAGCTCCTGCATTGAGCGTCTGCCCCCTGGTGATCAGTGTGTGTCACAGTGACCAGTTATTCCCAGTCTTTCTGCTGTTAGGGTCAGTTTGCATATTACCCTTTTACTATATAGCAGGGGTCCTCAAACATTTTAAACAGGGGGCCAGTTCACTGTCCCTCAGACCGTTGGAGGGCCGGACTATAGTTTAAAAAAAAAACTATGAACAAATTTCTATGCACACTACACATATCTTATTTTGAAGTAAAAAAACGGGAACAAATACAATATTTGTATTTGCATGTGGCCCACGGGCCGTAGTTTGAGGACCCCTGCTATATAGGATAGAGGCCTGGTGCACAGGTGGGGGCCGGCTGGTTTGCCTTGAAGGGTGTCCCGGATTAGGGTGGGGGTCCCGCTTGGGTGCCTGGCCAGCCTGGGCGACGGGCTGATGGCTGCTTGCAGCTGGTCACACCCCCTTCAGGGTGGGGGTCCCCACTGGGGTGCCTGGCCAGCCTGGGTGAGAGGCTGATGGCTGTTTTCAGGCTGGCCACACCCCCTTTAGGGTGGGGGTTCCCACTGGGGTGCCTGGCCAGTCTGGGTGAGGGGCTGAGGGCCGTTTTCAGGCTGGCGGGGACTGAAGCTCCCAGCCTCTCCTTTTTTTTCTTTTCTTTTTTTTTTCTGGGATTTATTTACCTTCTATAATTGAAACATTGTTGCTGTCACTGGCGCTCCCAGCTCTGAGGCCGTGGCCAGCTGAAAGCAGGTATATGGAGTTTGTTTAGCTTCTATAATTGAAACATTGTTGCTTTCGGGCTCAGAGCAGGCCTTGGTAGGCGGGGAACCTTGGCTTCCTCCATCACTGGAGCAAGCAAGCCTCCTGCTCGCTTCAGCTGCATGGTTGCTGACAGCCATCTTTGTTGGCAGTTAATTTGCGTATCGCCCTGATTAGCTGATGGGAAGCGTAGCGGAGGTACGGTTAATTACCCTTTTTGTCTTTTATTAGATAGGATACTTTAAAAATATATATTATTATTGATTTCAGAGAGGGAGAGGGAGCTGGACAGAGATAGAAAGAAACATCAGTGATGAGAGACAATTATGCCTTTTGCATACCCTATATTGGGGATGGAGCGCACAACCCAGGCATGTGCCCTGACCAGGAATCAAACCATGACCTCCTGGTTCATAGGTCAACTGAGCCTCACTGGCCGGGCTATATATACTTTTAACTTACATTGTAAATTCATTTATGAAAGGGTAGAACTATGAAAACATAATTCTTTTAACATGTCTTTTTTATTATTATTAAAAGTTGTTAGTACCCATATATGCAGGTAGTAAAGTTTACTTTGACAAAGTGACATCTTTTTTAAAATGTGTATTTATGAACATTTGAAATATAAAAAATATATATCTTTTTAATGCCAAATTTAGTATTATACTAAACAACTCTACTTTTCTCTTTTCCCAGGATATTATTGCTGGATTCCTATATACCATTTTAATCTTAGCTATCTTCTATCCATTTGTGGACCTGATCGACAACTTCAACCAAACTCACAAATATGCTCCATTAATCATCATTGGGCTTCACTTAGCCTTGGGGATCTTTTCCTTCACTCTTGACACCTGGAGTACATCCCGAGGAGACACAGCTGAGATTCTAGGAAGTGGTGCTGGAATTGCATGTGGCTCTCATGTTACCTATAACATGGGTCTAATGTTAGATCCTCCTCTGGATACGTTACCTTTAGTTAGGCCCCCCATTACTGTGACTCTCCTTGGAAAAGCCATGTTGCGTATCCTTGTAGGGATGGTATTTGTACTACTAGTCAGAATAATAATGAAAAAGCTCACCATTCCTTTAGCCTGTAAAATCTTCAATATACCATGTGATGATGTGCGAAAAGCGAGACAGCACATGGAAGTTGAACTCCCTTATCGGTACATTACCTATGGAATGGTTGGTTTCTCTATCGCATTTTTGGCTCCTTACATATTTTCCTTTATTGGTATCTCTTGATGGAGAAATATTGTTTACGATAAGAAAGAAGGGTATCAGTTACTGATCTCTAAAAATATATTCTAGTTAAAAGCCAAATCAGAGTTAGGCTTTTGCAGGAATTTAACTTAATTAAGTAAATTCATGAGTTCGTGCATTTTACCATTGCACATCCAGATATTGTTTAGGTGAGCTGAGCTATTTCAACACTGAAAAAATGATTAGTATTCATTTAGACTGTTCATGTAATATTTGGAGAGTTTTGTGCTGTTATGGATTCAAGATATATATATTAAGATACATAATATACACTTATGTATCTAATACATAATATACAATTATGTATCTAATATATGTTATATATAAAATAATATAGCTACATTTTTAAACTGGGGGGGGGTGTATTATAAAGTCAATAATAAATATGCAAACAGTTGTGCCTGTGTATTTGGACTTAATACAGGCATGTTCTTATTACAGATATATTTAATGTTTACTTACTATGGGAGCCATTTCCTAATTAATGCATAATTACTAGACCAGAATTCATATGCTACCACATATTAATTTATGCCTCATTTTACACTGCCATCATGTTACCCATGATGTTAAATATGGGAGGCATTTTATTGGACCAAATTTTCAGAAAAATTAGTTTTTGGATTCCTTTTTCCCCCCAGTTCTGTACTGTCTTGAATGTACTTTATTTGCAATTGTTCTGAACATCAGTTTAATAATTCAGGTACTGAATTTTATTGCTTGCTAATTGTGCCTTTCTGTTTGCCGTATAAGAAATGCCATGTATACTGTGATGTAAAAATAAGATGCTAACTTAATCTTAACTTACATGTAATCAGGCAAATATTTTTAAAATATGTTAAGCTAACAGGGCTAGAAGTAAAACACCCTCAATTCTTTAGCCTTTGTTTAGAAAGAAATGTGGAATGGGCTAAACCTTCTCACTAATTTATTGGGAAACTAAATGGACAAATATTTCCATTTTTGTAAGTATTTTTCTGTGCACTGTAAGTTATAGGAATAAGATATATTTTTTGTACATTGTCTTGATTGTTTATACTACAGGTAGATGTTTCCAGTTAATGGAAAAGTAATTGAAATTTATAGGTGGGACAATGCACAAGCTTCAGATATAAACAAACCATTTTTCTAAATTATTTGGAAAGGATTGGGTGTAGCGGTTACCTTTTAATACTGACTTATTAGTTACTTAAGGTAAATTATAAATCAAAAAGTATCAGTATTTAGATCCTATTTTTTTTCAAATTTTCAGAGGAAAATTTGGTATAGTATTAAACTATTCTTTATTCTGTCTGTGCCTTTATATTTTTGAAGTGTAATTATAATTAGGTTAACATTATGTTTATTTGTAGTAAGTTTTTCATAAAGAAGAGAGTTAACTTTCCATAAATGAGCATCAGGTATGGAATTACTTTAGTGCAATATCTGATTATCCAGAAGTATCCTTTAAGATGTTTCTATTTTGGGCAGCATAACTATTAAAGCTCATATTTTTATAATTCTGATGGAGAATTTAGAGACATGGTAATTTTTACCAATACTGAATCTGATCATTTTAAATAAAGCAACCAAATTTGGGACCTTTATCTATTAATAGGCAACCAGTGCACTTGGGAACATATTGGTATGTTGGAAAACATTCAAAGAACTTTTCTTTCAAAATGTGTTTAATGAATCAAATTTTAGGGACTATTTCCTATAATTTGGGTCCATGCTATCTTATTAATTTTTATATCTAGCTTTAAAGTTATTTTAAAATATTCCATTTCTTTTTATTATTTTCTGTTCTATGATAGTTCCATGCTAAATATATTTAAAAATAAAAGCCAAATTCAGGTTGCAGGCTGTTTTGTTTTGTTTGCCTTCTATACATTTGTCTCGGTATTATCTGGTAGAGACTTATAAAATATGTTTAGAGTTTTCAGTTCCAGTAGGCTTTCCCTCTGAAGCATTTTATTCAAAATCAGCATGTTGTTTTCAGTATTAGAAGACTTTGAAGTAATTCTTTAAGGTTGAAGTTGACTTTGGGCTCCATTTATGATCATTTTGACATTGTACTTTTAATAAAAAGTTTCATAATATTTCTTTGAAAAACTCATGTATAAAACATGTTTCAGTAAAATCTGTGGCTAACAGTATTATAGTTAGTTGACTGTTAATTCATTAATTCAGGAATTAATCATAATACTAAGTACAACTACTTTTTCAAGCAGAATAAACATATGGATAGTCTTTTTTTTTTTATCCACCCACCACAACTCATGGATATTTCATTTGTCATTTAAAAATGTCATTATGTGTGAATTGCAAAAACTAGGTCTTCCATAAACTCATTATAATAAGATATAATATAAAGCAATGCTACTACAGACTTATAAAATTACTTACTAGTTTTCTTTACAAGTAATTTTTAATAATGTATCTTTCAAAGACAGCGTAAAAATTAATTCAATGATCTGAATATAATTTAAAGGCAAATTTTCTAAGACATTTGATAAAGATGAATATATAAATACTAAAATGTTTTTATTTTAAATATAATCACAATTTTATACAGCAAAGGTATTTTTTTTTTTATTGCCAAAGCAGTTTCATTCTTTTTAACAAAGAATGTTTAGATTTAAAAACAAAACTATTTAATCTGGACATCAATAGGTCCAGTTTTTAAAATTCAGCTTTATAGTTGAATTCATTTTTCTGAAGCGAGCCCTTGTTGTCTGCTGAGGAGCTATTTTGAGAAAGGGAAGAGAGAACAGTTTGAGAAAGAGTAATGGAACAGCCGTGGCCTGTGTGGCTCCATTGGTTGGTTGGGTTGGAGCCTTATCCCGTATACCCTCCTCTGTACACCAAAAGGTGGCTGGTTTGATTCCCTGCCTGCCTGATTGCCCCTAACTGCTCTGCCTGCTTGCCTGATCGCCCCTAACCATTCTGCCTGCCTGCCTGATCACCCCTAGCTGCCCGCCTGCCTGCCTGATTGCCCCTAACCGCCTTTGCCTCGGCCCCCGCCACCATGGCTTCGTCCAGAAGGACGTCCAGAATGACATCCGGAAGGTCGTTTGGCTGTCCGGTCTAATTAGCATATTACACTTTTATTATTATAGATTACTCTTCAGATTTGAGGTTTACCCCTTGTCCTAAATTAGAAGTTCTCAAAACCAAAATCCATTATAGCATATATTACACCCTGTCATTGTCTTATGTATTTTTAAATATTTTGGCTTCATTTCTATGTTGTAAGCTCTAGGAGGAAAAAGAGCTTATGCCTCTATTTTGGACCCCTGGGAGACAGTAGGCATTCAACTAATACATGTAGAATGAATACTCACAGTACCTAGACAGGCTTCAGCATGTGCATTTTTCTGGGGAAAAATTCTACACCTTTCATTAGAGGCTAAAAGATACTGATGATCTAAAAAAGTTTAAATTTATGCAATATTCTACCTGTTACTTCTTGTTTTAAAAGTTATCTGAAAAAAAAAGGTTATCTGGTAAGAATTTTGTCACTTTTCATGCAAATATTTAAAGGATAATAATTTAGATTCTTGAAATGTTTTTGCATGTAATTACAATTCCCTGTTGTATAGAATGTGATTTTTATCCAAATTAGTTTTAAAATAATTTCTTTAGAATTAAAACAAGATCTGAAAAGAAAATATTCTGTATATATATGGATATAACTTGTTTTTAGTAATCAGCTATATAAATGTGTTCAGGAGAATATTACTTTGTACAGTTTATAATCTGTGATTTTTATATTTAAAGTGTTAATAATTAAAATGTAGACAAGATATATTAAGGTTTTAAGGATCAATTTTTTTACTTAACATTTAAAGGCTCCCTTGAGGTCTCCAGGCCCATGATTTTTTTTAAGATATATTGACATGTAACTTTATATTAGTTTTAGATGTATAACATGATTTGATATTTTTATATAATGTGAAATGATCACCACAGTAAGTCTAATTAACATCTGCCCCCATAATCTGAAACTGGCCCCCATATATGGAGGGCAGGGAGAGACCAAAGAAAAGCAGGCCACCCCAGATTTGAAGGTGGCAGGTATAAAAGCAAGGGAACTTATGAGGGCTGAGTACATCTATACACCTGTCTGTCAAATCTTAGAAATTTATATAGAGGCCCTAACTGAGGTTGTTATGTATACCATCCACAGGGTTTCAATGATATCTTATTCTCTCAAGGCTGTAGGTATCTTGGGGCAGCTGCTGGGAACAGGGAAGGCAAGAGGAATACACATTCTGGAAAAGGGAGGAGGTGGGGAGCCTCCAATGGCCCAGGTCCAGCTTTTTGGTCAACTAGCGGTCATGTCTTCTTGATGACATCCAACACCACCTTCCAAAACCTCACTAGAGGATTGTAAAGCAAACTGATGACATACCCACAGACGTGCTAGCAGACCATAAGGAAATGTGTCTTAAGGATAAGACCAGTTACAGGGAGCCTTTGTGTGTTCTACACAGAGGACTGCCTCCCAGAGGACTTGTTGATTTCCAGGCATGCTCTAGGGCAGTGGTCGGCAAACCACGGCTCGCGAGCCACATGCGGCTCTTTGGCCCCTTGAGTGTGGCTCTTCCACAAAATACCATGTGTGGGCGCGCACGTACAGTGTGATTGAAACTTCGTGGCCCATGCACAGAAGTCGGTATTTTGTGGAAGAGCCACCCACACCCAAGGGGCCAAAGAGCTGCATGTGGCTCGTGAGCCGCGGTTTGCCGACCACTGCTCTAGGGCTACTGTTGGTGTTCTTCAACTTAATATTTATCCCACCATACTTGAGACCATGAAACTTTAACTGTGGATGGAGCTAAGAGCCTATCATACATCTGACTAATCCCAACTGCTTGGAACAGGAAGATTGTGGGGTGAGTGTAGGAAGAGTGCTCGCTAGTAAAATCACAGAGACACCATCAATATATTCCATATGTGTGAGGTAATCTACAATACACCAATGACCACCTAAATTTTTCTGATTCAACATTATTGTTCCAGAAGGGCCTTTGCTTCCTTATTTGAGTTATGTGTGTGTCTATTTAAAAGACATAATGACCATATTGTCTTACATTTACCTTATAATTAGCAGCTCTCAAACATATTACTAGCCATTGCAGATCTGTAAGTGTAGCCATTCCATTCATCTGCAACTTGCATTCCTAGGACACCTTTGGTGACTTTTCATGGAACAGTTTCATAAGTCTTTGGGGACTTCAATGTGATCCATTGCCATAAGTTACATATTATTTTTGCCCTTGCAAGTCTATAAGAAAGCTGGTTCAGATGCTGGGCTTACAAGCCGTGGTTTCTCTGAAATCCTGACCCTGCTGCTTGTTATTTCTCTTGAAAATTTTTGTGTATGAATTCCATTCTGTGTGAAGATGTTGGTGGCAAAATAGCATTGACTTTCATATTTCCATTCTGTCTGTTTTCTCCAAAAAATGCAATGACAATACAGGTATGTTGGATAAAAGAAACAGACTCAAGTCAGTATGTTACGGATGAAGAAGTCCGAAGACCAGGATTTTTGTTTTGACTTTGACTGTAATTTGCTGGACTTTATTTAAAACAAACAAACATATTTTTACTGATTTTAGAGGAAGGTAGTGGGAGAGAGAGAAACATCAATAAGAGAGATTCACTGATTGGCTGCCTCCTGCACACCCTACACTGGGGATCAAGCCCACAACCCAGGCATGTGCCCTGACCAGGAATTGAACCCTGACCTCCTGGTTCATAGTTGATGCTCAACCACTGAGCCACACTGGCCAGGTTCATTTGCTGGACTTTTAGGCACTAGCTCCATCTGCTATGAGACACAGTTTCCTCGCTTAAATAATGGAGAGGTTTGACTTGATACTCTCTAAAATTTAATGAACTGTACTAGATCAAGTGTGCAAAAACGAAGGTAATATTTCTATTATAAGGATACTAAAATTTATCAAAAAAAGAATTTTAATCCACTTGTACTGAGGGAGCATATCTTGTCCTGTCTGTGAAAATTTAGTATGCACCCCTCTAAGAAAGTTACATGTATTTCCAAAGAGAAGCAATGAGTTTGTTGCTTTAGAAGGGTCATAACAGGAGGTTACAAGGCTTTGTCATAACTTTTGTTTGAATTACAACGTTTAAAGTCACCACTAGGTGTTACCTAATCCAACCTACTAAAATCACCCTACACAGATAGTTCTTTGTTTAAAAAAAAAAAAAAGAGGGATAGGGAAAATACCAAAGACTTCAGTAATCTTATAATTCATTCAACAAATCTTGCTAGCAATGGAAATGGATATATAAATTAACAAAAAGAAAATCTTTGGGAATTTCATGTGGAACTAAAAGACAAAAAAAAAATGCTGAATAAAACACATGGATGTTTCTCTCCCTCTGAAATCAATAAAAGTATATATTTTTTTAAAAGATGGACAATAACAAGTGTTAGTATATAGAGAAATTGGAACTGTCATAAGTTGTGGGTGGGAATGTAAAATGGTGCAATTATTTTGGAAAACAGTTGGCAGTTCTTCAGAATATAAACCGAATTATCCTACAACCCGCAATTTCACTCCTAGGTATTTAACCAATAAATTAAAAACGTATGACCACACAAAAACTTGTACATACGTCTTTTTTTTAATCTTTAAATTCTTTATTAGTTAAGGAATTACAAATGTGTCCTCATTCCCCCCCATTAACCCCCATCCTCCCCCCCCACTCTGTACATACGTCTTTATAGTAGCATCATTTATAATAGCCAAAAAAGTGCAAACAACCCAAATGCCCATCAATTGATAAATGAATAAATAAAATGTGGATGTCCAAAATGTGAGATGGAATATTATTCAATCATAAAAATAAATTAAGTACTGATACATGCTACAAAATGGATGACCTTGAAAATATTATGCTAAATGAAAGAATTCAGATAATAAAAGACTACATATTGTATGATTTCATTATATGGAATGTTCAGATAAGGCATATCTGTAGAGACAGCAAGTAGATGAATTATGCTGGGGTGGTGGGAGAGATTGGGGAATAGCTGCTAATGGATATGGGGTTTCTTGTAGATGGT